AGTCATGGTTGCTCTGTTTCCATAGAGGTGCTGGACTTTATATTGCGGTGGAAAATGAGCCCACAGTGATGATAAATTGCTTAGACTCTGCTTGGAGGCTCAGAGGGCTAAACACGTGTCCCAGCATGTACACTGTGCTTCTGTGGATACATGTGTGGGTAAACGGTGAGGAGTTAATCTTTCCAGCTTTTATAATTTGAGGGTGCCATAAAGTTTGGCCCTCGTCTCTTATATAACTACTAAAACACGTGTGCGCGTAGGTGGAAGTGTGAACACGTGCTTCAGGTAATGACTAACGCCCGTATGAATGGCCTCTCCTCCCAGCACGGAGGCTTTGGGCAGATGTCACCTGCTGCAGACTGTCCTGTCTTGTGAACTATAACTCCTGACTGTTAATCTCCTGATAAGGGTCATTCTTTGTGTTTACTCACAGGAAAACATCCTGAGCCTCCATCCTTCCCGCATCAATCAGCCAAGCTCCGAAGCGGAAGCAGCCGGCGTAGGCGAAGTAGATCATGGCCTGGGAGAAGGAGTATGTGAAGCCATACATGTGGGCCTTTTTCTTGGCGTTCCTGCACAGAAAGTGAGAACACTCCTCAGTTAATTAAGGAAATACTAAAATATGTGATGGAGATGATGTGTGAGTAAATAATGTCGTACTTGTACGGCACAACGAGGTTCTCCTGATACAAGGACTCAAACTTGGGTTCTCTTGTGAGAGACGCCACAGTTCGGATGTTCTCTATGGCCTCCGTAGCAATCTGTAGAAAACACAGTGTAAACTTATATCTTATCACGAGATCAGCATCTATCAGCAACCGAAGTTCATCCCATAAAGAGTCATAAAACACTCAATCCGCACCTTTCCAGCCCTCTCCAGCTCCTTCTTCTCTTCGGCAGCGTGTCCGGTGAGCGCCCTCATCTCCAGAGCTCCGGCTAACGCGATGACCGGCACCACAGCTAGAAGGAGCAGCGTCAGCTCCCAGCCGTACACCAGGCCCAGAATCAAACCACCGCCCAGGTTGGCAAAGTTCTGCGCCAGTGTCGCCATACGTACTCCAGCAGCCTGAGCAGGAAAAGAAGCAAAGAAGCCGATGAGGTCGCTGATTTTAATTGGCAATTACTTTTAGGCAGCATTTAGCCGACTGCTTTTAAGGGTTTTTTTTGCCAAGTAGGTTTTCACATACGAGGATGGTTTTTGGTGCCTAGCAGTAAACATTCTAAAAAAGAGCAGAAAATGTTAAACAACAAGTTCAGCAAAGCTCAGGAAGTCTAAAAATAAACAGAAGTAATAAAAAAATTTACAGTGTGGAGGAAGGTGCAAATTATTCGCCCGAGAATGTGCAAGGCCACACAGTGTATGGTGACAAAAAGGATAATAACAATCGTATCATTGGACTGACCCCTTGTACTTGCGCTGCGTCTGTGGCCAGTCTGGTAGTCAGAGCTCCAACACTGTTCTTAGGTTGGTCGAACCAGCCGAGATCCTTCAACAAAACAAAACCAGGATAAACATCTTCCACTGGCCATGAATATAAAGTATACAACAGAAGAGAGTACACAACTGTGTAATATCACCGAAATGCCAAATAATTCAAAACTCACACCACACCTGTGATTTCTGTCTAACTGCATAAATAGTGTTATAAAATAAGCCGTAAACACCAAAACATTCTCAGTTCTGGAACTGTGGGTTGTGTCTATCTGCATCTCTGCATCATGGCTCCACGTCGAAAAGAAGTGAACGGAGGAACTGAAAGAACTAACTGTGAGACATCACAAAGATGCAGAAGGATACAGGAAGATCTGCGAACAACTAAAAATCAGTGAAACGCAGTTGCAGTAGTAACCAGGAGGTCTAGAAGGAGCCACTGTAGCACCGATCAGGGCTGCAGTGGTCGTCCTCCTAAAATGGCTCCACAGACAGTCAACTACTTTCACAATCTGGCTGCGAAAAACAAAGGCAGCTGCTCCAGACTTGGCACAGAGGTTATCAATGGAAACCAGAGTTAGTGTGAAGCTCAGACAGTGAAGGACAATATATAATATCTGGACTGTATCAAAGAAAAACTCTCTTGCTTCCTGTTCAACACTAAAACCGAAAGAAAAAACGCAAGAAATAAGTAAAAAAAGCCTGATGAATGTTGGGAGAACTTTCTCTGGTCAGATGAAGATGAACATGTTGGGCTCAGATGGAGTCCAGATGTTTGGTGTGAACCTGACCAAGACCACCACAGCGGATGCATCGTCCTGACAATGAAGCACGGAGGTGGCAGCATCATGATATGGGGCTGCATGAGTGTAAAAGGTGTTGTTGACATTTACAGACAAATGTCCGTGAATATGTCTTAAAGACGAGAGATATTCCAGCATGAGAACCATGCAAATTAGAAAAAAGTAAAAACTGCGACTAGATTACTAATTCAGGAGTCGTTCTCTTACAGAACCCTGTTGTGGTGACTCACCTGTCTCATCATGGACTTAAAGGCGCCGAGTCTCAGTTTTAGGGTGAGAACTTCTCCAGATTTACCAAAACAGAAACCCTGTAAAAGAAATACACAATATAATGCAGACATTAGTACATCAGTCACTTCACCTGCATGTGTTTACAGTACAGCAGTATCATTTACATGAAACATGTCTGCAGGTGGTGCATACAGAGACTCTCTTCCATGACGACTCTTTACTCATTCTTGGTTTTACATTGAAAATGTATAAGGAGAAAAGCAAAATGACATTATTTTAGGCATATATAGTTAAAGATGGTTCAAAATTTGGGGAAATTTGCTTCTAGTCCTGATGATTTGTGCCAAGTTTGAGGAGAAATGTTCATCTTTCCATAAAACATGAACTTTGATACGCTTGGTGGTGCCCCAGTGTCTGTTTTACTTCCCTGTGATAACCAAATGATGTATTTTGCATCATATCTCATGGACCAAACCATATATTTTGATTACAGTGGTACCACATACAACATGATAAAGATTTTCAAGTGTATCATTAACTGTGAATTCAGAGACTGTGAGAAGAAATGCGGTGAAATCGCAGACTATCTGAGAACATGCAGAGTGAATTTTCAAGCATATTTCATGTCACCTTTAATTTACAATGGCTCTCTGGAATGAGGATGACATATTATGTAAGTGTCTGAAAGTAAAGGGGCAACAGTTTATTTGAAGTCCTAATATAAACTTCAATCTCGATGAACTTGCTAGGTGATTTATAGCGCTGCACTCTGCATGAGAAGTCAATAAAAATGCACCTGATCTTTGAACTGTATGACTGTATTGTTTAAAACAACCTTTCATTGTATTACTGAATTAAATATTAGCCAACTATGAAAAACTGAGACACTTAGAATCTTCACATCAAACGTTTGTCAATCTGAAATGTCGTATTCATGTGAATACATCTACTGCGTGTACATACCTGCAGAAACATGGTGACGAAGGACACAGCTCCGATAGCAACAAACATGAGCGAGAAGAAATTGGATTTTTTCGTGACGACATCTGGATTTGGTTCTGCAAACACCTGAAGGAGATTTGAAAAAAAAAAAAAATCATTTAATTTATTTCCAGCGTCTAAAACTGCTGCGACGAACCTGAAACACTAAAATGAGTCGCAGAGAGACGTACGGTGACGATCCTCGAGAAGAGGACGGCGAACAGAGGCTGAATGACGCCGTTGATGATGGCGCAGATGGTCCCCACCAGAATAAAAAGCCACTCGGAGCTGTTCAGAGCCATAACTTTGAGGAAGGACACTGGAGGAACGTCTTCATCCTGCAGGGATAAAGAGCAAGATTGGAAGGTGGTTCAGAATCCAAGAAAGGAGCAAGCTTGCCGTCCAAAATGTGTCCTAATTTCTGAGTTACACCTCACCTCATCCGTCTTTTCCGTTAGCTTTTCTTTCTCCTCTTTCTCTCCCTCGGAGGCAGCGAATGATGAACCTCTTGTAGATTTCCTCCTTCGCAGTGCAGATTCAGAGGAAGTCTTCACCAATGGGCTCTTCTCATTTGCAGACACCTCATACTCGTCCTCCTCATCCTCCTCGACTTTCTGAAAGGTCTGCAAGAAAACCCCCAAGTCATTATGAAGCACTGATTGCTCTGATATAATCCCCAGGTGTTCAGGTGTTTGCATGTTACCTGCATGGTGACCAGTGTGTGGTAAACGCCCTTCATTTCCATCAGCTGGCTGTGAGTCCCCAATTCGACAACTTCACCTTTCTGGAAGCCGGCGATCACGTCAGCGTTTCTGATGGTTGACAGGCGGTGAGCCACGATAATGGTGGTACGACCCTGTCGGACCTGCAATTACAATTACAAGAAGAAATGAAATATTTGTTCATGCTTGCATTATTTTCCTCCACATAAGTTAATC